TATCTATATATATCAAAATAATTCTGCTACTGTACCAAATTATATGTGTACTTCATTTGCAAAATTATTTTATTTTATTTTTATTTTATTTCAAATTTATATACCGCACCTTCTCCCAAGGGAATCAGGGCTGTGTACAGCCAGATAAAAACATACAATACAAACATTAAGAACAATTAAAAGAATATATATTAATTTGGCCCCAGTTTAAAATGACAAACCAATTAAAAATTAAAAATTTAAAAATATGTTAAGCCAGCCCAGCTTGATGAAAAAAATAAAGTTTTAAGGGCATGGCGGAAGGCACCAAGGTCTTGGATTCTCCTTATCTCAGGGGGCAGCTGGTTCCATAAGGTAGGTGCCCCCACAGAGAAGGCTCTCCCCCTGGGGGTCACCAGCCTACATTGTTTGGCTGATGGCACCCCGAGGAGGCCCTCTCTGTGGGAGCGCACGGGTCAATGGGAGGTTGTCGGTAGCAGCAGGTGGTCTTGAAGATAACTATGTCCTATGCCATGGAGCGCTTTAAAGGTGGTAAACAACACCTTGAAGTGCACCCAGAAGACCACTGGGAGCCAGTGCAGCTCACGCAGGAGCGGTGTTATGTGGGAGCGCCATGCAGCTCCTGTAATTACCTGCGCGGCCGCAATCTGGACCAGTTGGAGTCTCCAGGTGCTCTTCAAGGGGAGTCCCATGTAGAGAGCGTTGCAGTAGTCCAGGCGAGAGGTGACGAGGGCATGAGTGACTGTGCACATGCACATACACTGTGCAAATTATATAAAGAGGAGTTACGTCCCCTCTGTCTTCAGCCATATTTCTTATCTCTGGCACCATAACAAATCAATTTGTGCTTCAGCTGAATTCTGTACTGGTCTCTGGTTTAAATTATTTTTTTAACAATTCTCCTATAATATGAACAAAAATCCACTGAGTGCTCAACTTGTCAATTTAGACTTTCCAAATCCAGTTCAAACCAATGCTGGAGATGTCTACAATCAATGTATGTTTATGTGCTTGGCTAGTCAACTCTAGTGGAGGTTAACAGAAGCTCCATCTTATTTGGGATGAGTTTGGATCTATTAGTTTTAAGAAAGTGAACAGGTAACATCATCTCTGCCTCCTGCAGTTTAGATGTTAGCCCTTCCTGACTGGTGAAAGTCTGCAGAAAGGATCAGTAGGACATCTTTGTAATTTTTACAAGGCTCAATAATCAACACCTGGTATATTTGCAGAAATGAGGAAAGTTATTTTATGAAGAAAGAACTAGGAAATTTAAACAAAAAAGTGGAACAGATGATCGAGAAACTGTTTCAATAGCTTTATTGTTTCAAAGAAGAGCAATAAAGCAGTTTGACTGAGCAAAGTTTAGATCCAGTTTAGCTCATCAATTGAGCTCTGTGCATTTGTTTACATCTTCAGCTGGTCTGCATTCCCAGGTGAAATGTAATCAATAACAATAAAAAAAATCAAAGATCTTAGATAATGTACATTTCCCTGTTCGAGGTACAGAAAATTGACATAATTTAAACTAACAAAGCTAACATTGTTTTATTGAAGCATCAGATTGAATGAACTGGGAATACATATTGAATAGCTTCTTGTTCTTTTTCCAGTATTCAGAACCATGAAAGGCTTTTAATAATGCTATTGAATCTATACTGAAAAGTGCAATTATATATACTTTTCAAATTGTCTTTGGTACTCCAGTGAGACCTTTGGCAAATCACTGTTTATTTTTTCACAGACCATTTGTTAAAATTGCACCAGGTCAGCCTGCACTTGTTCCAGTGTCTGTATGAAATTCATCCTTTTATAGATATGAGAATCTGGAGAATTCTTTATTGCCTACCAAAGACAATCTAGCCAATTCACATAACAGATGCAGTGGGGAAATGAAGGTTAGAAGCAATTCACTGTAGCACAAAAGCACACTGAAACACACTTGAATGATGAGCTATGAAATTGATCTCCAAAGACGGATGCAGTTCATCCAAAACAAAGTCAGTACTTTTTTTTTAAGTTTTAGATTGAAAAATGTAAGAAAATGTAAGGGTGTACAGAAACGGAAACAGAATGCACCTGGAAATAAACAGTTAAGCCTGTCAGAGATTAATACATTTATTATCTAATTATACATAATGTGAAGAGCGTGAATGCACCTTGCACCCCTTCCCTTCATTGTTTCCTTTCAGGGAACGTCTCCCATCTCTACTTGTATCTAACCATGATTATCTTTAGAAGGCTGTCAGGCCCTCATTAAGACAGGCTTAAGTTTTTCTGAGTTGTTATTGTTTTTCTTTGCATTGCAGGGTTCTACTTGTTTCTCAAAAATTAAAACTATCAACACAACACATGATGTGACTAGAGGCACTGTTTTTCAGCCGACTTGTCACAGAGCCTGCGTTGGTTAGAGTTGAGAGGAAGCTTGTGGCCCAAAGTCACCCAGCTGGCTTTTCTGCTTAAGAAACAACTAAAACTTGGCTCTCCCTTCTCCTGGTCCAGAACCTTGAACACTTTGATATGCGGTCCTTCATGTTCTTCGATTTAATAGTCTTGAATGGATGTTTTCCTCCTTATTCAGTCCCATCCAAAGGGAGTTTTGGAATAGGTACAAAGCAGGGGTGAAATGCTAATGGTTCGGGCCAGTTCGCTACTGGTTCGCTGAACCAGTAGTAAAAAAATGTAAAAAAAAAAGTTCCGATGATCACGCATCACTCAGCTGATCTTTGGAACTTTTTTCTTTACTTTTTAAGCATTTTTTTACTACCAGTTCCAGAGAACCGGTAGTTTAAAATGCTTTAAAAAGTAAAAAGAAATTCTGACGATCGCAAGTCGCTCAGCTAATCAGTGGAACCTCTTTTTTTTTACTTTTTTAAAGCATTTTTTTACTACCGGTTTGGTTGAATAGGTTCGCACGCCACAGCTGATTCCCCCCCCCTCGCTGTTCTACTTACCTTCCCAAGCCTCCTTTTGGCACATGCATTTGGTGTGCATTGCGCATGTGTGCGTGCAGAGCACGCTTGGCACACAGCTCGCATGCGCGGCCAGCAAACCGGCAGTAAACCGGTTCGGATTTCACCACTGGTACAAACATTTGAGCTTTGTCACTCATTGTTTTGTGGGGTAGTCAAATAAATGGTAGTATCAAGGAAGCTGGACAGTTACCCCCACAATACTATGCCTTCAGGCCTCATTCTGAATTAGTATGAAAGAGAAGGAAAGGAATAATATGCAATTATTCAAGTATGTAAGTATGCAGTTAGAAATGGTATCTTCTCTAGATAAGGCTCGCACCCTTCCTCAAGCCAACAAATCATTATATACTTTCACAAAGTCTTACATTTAAGAGAACAATCTCATTTTTTTCCAGGAAAAATGACTCACTGAGGGTCAGAAAGTACATCCAATTTACTTGTTATTTTTATCCAGTTATTTCCACTCATAGAAGCACACACAGTTTGCAACTTGTATTATTTACTTCCTAAATGAAACATTTGGTCACACCTCTCTGTATACCCACTCAGCTCAAAAGTTTAGTTTACCAAGTTAGGCTTAAGTTCCAAAAAAAATCAAGAGGCACCCCACTGCACATAGCGCCTTGTAATATGTGATGGCTCCAAAGAACTACAAATCTAATACATTTTTAATATTTTCCTACAAGCTTAAACCATCAGGTTGGCCAATCCATTTTGATACTTTACTCACACTTCCCTGTGCTTTTACACCAAAGCGATATTGCTTCATTCAGTTCACACAGGAACTATTTGTTCTGTGGGGAATCATCCTGTTATGGGAAGCATCCCCCATACTTGGTGCTTTTTCAAAGTCTCAATTCTTCTTCACTGAACTAAACTGTTCTGAAAAAAATTTACTGTCCTTTTGGCCTGCTTTGAATGAGTTTCATCTTATACTCCATTTTTCATACAAATTGCTATGAATTATGGTATTTTAAAATGCAATGGTATAAATTCGACCCATTGCAACTATACCACAATAATTGATACTATATGCTGACAACATTAATATATAGATGCATAGTTCATCAATTCCTTTGACTGTACATTGTTAATACAGTCTAATGAAGCATGATTTGAATTACATTAAATAAAGTAGCAATCATTTAAGATCTCTTCATTCATTTCCATAATTTTGAGGCACATTTAAATATAATTTTTCTAAATAGAAAATTATTTCTAAACATTTTTCTAAATAGAAAGTAATTTCCTAAATAATTTTCTCAATAGAAATGACTAAATACATTTATGTGATTAGTTGTGTATTCCAATATTCTAAAAAATTCATAAAACACGAATATCAAGTAAAAACAATAATTTAGATTTGAACCTCAAAATACAATAGTAAATTTTAGATTTCTATTTTTAATTATCCATGAATGCAAACTCTATTTCACTACGATAGATCAGATTATATAAATCACTATATTTCCACATTCGTGCCTTCTTAATGCTGCAACTTGCTAATAAATATTGTTAATAATGCTATATATAAAATTTTCACAATCCTTACAAATAACAGTTTTAATAACATGGGTTTCTGTATGTTACTCAGTGAAATTATTTTTCTACATTCAGAAAATGATTCATACATTCATATGATTAATGATTATAACTATGATTTATGATATATGGCCTATTACTTGCTGTTTATATGTACACTATGAGTTTATGCACTGGCGATAAATCCCTTGTGTGCCAATCACACTTGGCCAATAAAGAATTCTGTTCTGTTCTGTTCTGTTCTGTTCTGTTCTGTTCTGTTCTATTCTATTCTATTCTATTCTATTCTATTCTATTCTATCCCATCCCATCCCATCCCATTCCATTCCATTCCACTCCACTCCACTCCACTCCACTCCACTCCACTCCCCAAGGAAGTATTTTTATTTAACTTATGGTACAAATAATATTTTAGTTCCTTCCAATATTTCACTGCCTTTTATTTTTAAGTTATCATGGAGGATAGTTATCACGTTAAAATCTTACCTGTACATGAAAAATCATCAATCCGGATATATCCTGGGACACAGTTGCAGCGATATGATCCAGGCAAATTAACACACACTGTATTGGCATGACAATAATGCATCTTAGCAGCACACTCGTCAACATCTGCAGGGAAGGGAAAAAAATCTCATGATACTGCAATCAGATGTACAACTCCTACTTTCATAGATGCACAATTGTAACAGGAAACACGCTACATACAAGCATCCAAAATATATTCCCCAAACCAGAATATTTGGAAATTTAATTCTGCTATCAGCCTTGGATGTATTTCTGCTTGTGGCCATCTTTAAAGGTAATATAAAGCATATGCTTTAAGTGCTTTTTAAAAATATTTCTCTATCACTCTACCATCAGTCAAAAGTGGACAAAATGTAGTAATTAAAATCGGAAAAGGAAAGTTAACTATTAACATTTAGTTAAGTCAATCACAATAGAGTGTTTAAATGAAAAATTCAAGTGCCCCTCGTACTAGCTTCCTCGATTTTTTTAGCCACAATTTCCAAATGAAATGAGTTGTGCCAAAGATGAGTGTCACATGTTGAAAGTTGTAAAAAGCTGAAAATAAAACCTGCTTGGGACAATATAAGGTGTAATGGAAATATTCAAATGATTTTTCTGGAAAAAAAAATGTATTAATCCTGAAACCAGCACTGCTCCAAAAACCTAAACCGTTATTAGCTATAGATAAAACTTTCAAGTAGCATCTTCAATCTGAACTGGAAAAAAAATTAAGGATTAACATTTAAAAATTAATATCCCAGATACTCATCTATTTGTCTGAAGCAAATATCCATTGTTCAAATGAATTATGTTCACTCTGATTCAACTAAGCAGCACTCCCTATAAGAATGTCATTTTGAATTGTGTAAAAGAAAACTCTAGTGATTTTTGGTTGTTTACAACATCAGAATGCTGTAACAGCCAGAATGGCTTAATAAAATGCCTGAAATTCCATTATCTTCTTACTTTTAATATAATATGATCATGGTAAAATCTGCTGACATCTGGGGAATTCTCAACAGCCTTTTAAAATTTTATTAAAAGGAGCTCCTAAAATAGCTCTGGAAGAGAAGGCTTGCTATTTATGTCTGAAATTAACATTTTAAAAATACAAATTTCAGTAAATTTCTGTCACATTTGTAATTCAACAGACACCTCAGGGACAAATTGCTTTACTCACTTAAAAAGGACATTAACATTTTTCCAGGTATATACATTCAGCACTGTCCTAACATTTTGGTAGATGTATGTATGTATGTATGTATGTATGTATGTATGTATGTATGTATGTATGTATGTATTATCATAATTTATTTATGATAATTTATTATCATAAGAATACAGATCTCCACCCTAAATTAATTTATTCCTTCCTTCCTTCCTTCCTTCCTTCCTTCCTTCCTCCCCTCTTCCTTCCTTCCTTCCTTCCTTCCTTCCTTCCTTCCTTCCTTCCTTCCTTCCTTCCTTCCTGTTATTGCTCTGGTTGAAAAAAAATGAGATAAATAACAAGAAATGATGTTCCTCAAAATGTTATCTGAGAAAAGGATTGAGTTTAGACAAATGAAAGCTTGTTCCAAAATTAAGGGTTTTAGAATTAATTCAGAGATGTATTAATTTGATATCATCAGCCAATGCATTACCAACTTCAAAAGTCTGAAGTGAAAGGGTCAGGTCAGGTCATGCAAAAGTTATGATACTTGCTCAGTGATGGTTGTTTAACACGATTGTCATTATTTGAATCAATTACTGATAATAGAGGGGAAATGTACTTATTTCCTGAATGCAAACTGGAATATGCTTGTCTAATGTTTGCACTTTTCCCTAATGTGATTCCCACTTCTACTTCTGCCAAAATTCATATATTTACAATAAAGTATGCAAATTAGTATGTAAAGTTGAGAAAGTAGATGAAGTCAAACTTGACTGATTCATTTCTAGCTGTGGTGGCAGATGAGATTATACATATGTAGTAAGAGAAATAAGCTTTGAAGTAGGTTGGGTTTATTCTATAATTTTACTTTTCTGAACTCTGCAAAGGGCAAGCCACTACAAAAATGATTAGAAAGTTTGTATTCTTCTCGAGTTTTTCCATCTCTAGAGTCTCTTTCCCACAGGAACTTTAAAGCATGTTTGGAGATAGGTTAGCTCCTTCAATTTTCTCTTCATCTGCTCACCTTTTCTAGGTCAGGGACAAAAGTAATCTTCATTAGGTGCACCATCTGTCTCTGTTTTATTTTAGCTACATTTGGGGCAGAGTTGGACAGGTGGCAATGAAGTTTAAGAACCGCTGCTTTAGAATATACCTAAGGCAATCTTTAGTACTACAGATGGCTTCTGCTTCAAAAATGAGTTTATTGTCCAGCTGCACTAAATTTTCCTTGTACATAAATTGTAAAAAAAAGAAGAGCATATATTAAGAGAAAAATATGCACAAGCCACACTAAAATAAGGGATGCCATTACAACAAGATTCTGAACTAAATCCAGTGTATACAACAAAGTATATGTGTAGAATAGAATTTTCACGTATGTGCATCTTATTCTAATTATTCCAGTGTGAGTATTAAAAATTTGAACTGAGAAAATTTGATAGGCAATTTTAGAGAATATTTAAAAGAACAGTAGTGCTGAAATTAAGTTTTATACTTTTACCACAGTTTCGTGAGAATGAAAACAAGTTTTACTAAAACAATCCTTAATACAATCTTATACTTAGGCTTATCTGTAATGGATGAACATTCTTAGTCTATTGATATCACTAACAAAATCACTTTGCATTGAGTACCAAGGAACTGTCAGTTGAGGTTCTTTCTTTCTTTCTTTCTTTCTTTCTTTCTTTCTTTCTTTCTTTCTTTCTTTCTTTCTTTCTTTCTCTCTCCCTCCCTCCCTCCCTCCCTCCCCCCCTCCCTATTTCTTTCTTACAGGTGATAACATTTTCCACTCACAGAAGGAATTTTTCTCTTGACCCACAGACTCCTTAAAAATACTGAGCAATTAAAAAGACAAAAACAAAAACATGACCCTCTTCCATTCTATCTTGGTTACAAAAGCCTAAATACACCTAAAATGAAATAAAACCCACTGAATTGAAATAGAATTAACTTTTGACTAAATCTTTTTGAGTTGCAGCATCATGACATGCATTGATATGGCTTTATTTTGAGCCTGGGCGTTTTTCTTTATAAATTCCTCACACCTATCCTTCAGCATACCTCAGCAACAAAATAATTTCATCCATTTCTATTCAGCTACAAAGGTGCAAATGACTGGTTGCCTTCATTTCTCAAGAATAAAAAAAAATGTGCAGGATTAGATACTCCAAAATCAAGCATTATTATTAATTTTAGAACTGTACTAGGCATAAGCCATTGAGTGGTATCCATAAGGTTGGATATAATGGAACCCAAATTATGATTCATTTGTATAGTTTGCTTGTCCCATTTGAAATATTAGAACTTGTCTTCTGATGGTTCACAGAGGAGATAAAAAAAACATGATTTATGTCCTTCCGTAGGACTGCAAAGTAGTTTGCTTTTCTCATAAAAAGGTTTACTTATGGTCTTTAAAATGAAACTTGACATAGCATAATGATTGTTCACATATCGCTAACTTCCCTCTGCATAAGCCAGTTTGCTATAATGACAAAGAGTCACTCCTGCTAAAGCTTTTCCATGAAAATCATTGTATCATAATGCATAGTTTAATCTGGCAAAGTACAAGAAATACTCACCTCAAGTATTTCTTGTACTTTGCCCATATGCATTTGGGCAATTTTTGCTCTTTAGACATTGTGTTTTTTAGTACAATAAGTGCTGGGAATCAGCAGTCCTAACACTGTTAATTTCCAATGTGTTTAAGATTTAACAGGATCTATTTTGGAAAAACAAAGCATGCCATTGGAAAATGACTGAATTGAGTAATGGGTCTTTTCTTTCACAGACAGCTTTATCAATGCATCAATACAAATGTATTTAACCAAATGATAAGCTTATCACTTGGTAGCAATCACTCAAACTTTGATTTTCCTACAGGAAAAAACACAGAAACATTTGTATGGGAGTGTATACCTTTGTGAGTGTCAGTGTCTCTCTGTATGGATGTGTATATATATGTGTGTGTTTACTATAGGAGATGACCAAGGGAGGGGATAAATGCATCATCAGTTATGAGTCCCTGCATGCCCACAAGAGATCTAAGTGCACCCCACCTTTGAATGCCTTTCTTAACTCCCACTAATTTCCTTTGACCATTAGTACCTCAGATTCTTGTAAAGAGCTTAAGCCTGCAATAAATCTTTATACTCATTTGAACTGCCTGAATCTCCTGTTTTTCCTGGTGACTGACATTGTGTATGTGTGTATATCTCTATCGCATCTATCTATCTATCTATCTATCTATCTATCTATCTATCTATCTATCTATCTATCTACAGGGAAAGAATGAAGGCAAATGAGGTCTAGGCAGAAGAAGAACATCATGGCTTCAAAACCTAAGGGACTGATTTGGACAAAACTCAGCAGCACTTTTTCATGCTGCTGTTGACAAAAATAGGATTGCCAACATGATCACCAATGTCCAATGACGGATATGGCACAAGAAGAAGAAGATGTGTGTGTGTGTGTGTGTACACATATAACAATATACATAGATTGATATTGATCTTATATGAAACCTACTAATGGCATTTGACAATAGTTGGGTAGGGCATCCTTGTCTCCAAGTAAATTAAAATGGCTGCTGAAATCATCCAACAGTACACCGATTGTGATTACGTAAGAATTTTGTGCAATCCCCAGCATCGTTTCAGCTGTTGCCAAAAACTGAGTAGTTTTCAGACTGGGTTTGGGAGGGAAGAGTCAATAGGGAATGAGGTCAGTTTATAAAAAAAAGAAAATGGTGAGTTAAAAGAACATGGTTTTTACTGTGGAGACATCTATACTGTTTTAACACACTCCCTTTCTCCCTTGCCTTGTCCACGTTTAATGCCTGACATATTCCACAGACAGGCAGATGACCTTGGATGCAGAAAGAAAAATGTGTCTACCACGCAATGCCATTTTAATTGGCACTTTTCAGTTCCATCAGCAGGTATTTAAGCACTTG